GTGTCCCTCTCCAGGGACTGGTCTCTCCTGATCGCACGTCCAAAGTCCTTGAGATGACAGCTTGCCATCCTTGCTTGTAGGAAGATTCTGACTGTGCTTCTTCCAAGACAGACAGGTTTGTTCTTTTGGCAGTCCATGGTACTTTTCCTATTCCTTGCCAAAGCCGTCGTTCAAATGCATGGACCTTTCTTGGGTCTTCCTTATCCCCTATCCACCTTTCACATGTGTCTGATGTGATTGCAAACACCATGGCTTAGATCAGGTGGGCGTTAGTCCCTAACATCTTTCCTTTTCAACACATCAAAGAGGCCTTGGGGAACAGATTTACCGAATGCAATACTATGCCAATCACTTTTTTCTTCTTTTTGTTTCAATCACGTTTTTAATGCCAATAAAACTATTTTAAAAATCCTGCTCAAAAGGGGAAGATGGCAGAGCAGAAAGTCAACTTCTCATGGAATCCAGACTTTCTGGAGCTATGGAGACGTGGTCTGCTTCTGAAATAATGGCCCTAAGAGAATCATTATACCAGATCTTCATACCACCTAGGTGTTAAGTTTACTTAGTAGAGAGTGTTATGCTCTCTTAGGATCTACCACAAGGTCAGTGGTTTGAAGCCCACCAGCCACCCCAAGGGAGAAAGATGAGGCTTCCTGTTCCTGTTAAGAGTTCCAGTTCTGGTGACCCACAGGGGCAGTTCTACCCTGTCCTGTTGGGTTGCTGTGAGTCAGAGTCAACTAGATGGCAGTGAGGATGGATATGGGATCAAATTGGCACAAGCGAGTTGAATGGTACGATTGGAAACTCAGGGGGAAGGGAGATTAATGGGGAGACACCCTCAAGGAGGGTATAGATGGTCTCGCATGACTCCAGAATCTAATACCCACAAGATTGTACGTGTAGAAGATTGAGTTGGTGTTTTTGCTAAAACCACACTCACCGCCCGGCAGTTGGTTTCAAACTGCCGGCCTTGGGGTTAGCAGCCCGATGCATAACCATTATGCCACCCTGGCACCTTCTATTCTTGACAGCAATAGCAAAGTAAAAGATTCTCTTTCTAAAGTCGACACCTTGTCACCATCAATTCTTGGTGACCCAGTGTCAGAGTAAACTGTATCCATAGGATCTTCAACAGCTGATTTTGGGGTGGAAGGGAGGGGAGAGTGGAGGGGTGGAGGTAAGGAGACCGCCAGATCTTTCTTCTCAGGTGCCCCTGGGTGGACTTTGAACCCCCAACCTGTTGGTTAGCTGCTGGGTGTGTTAGCTGTGCAATCCAGGGAATTGACACACCCCGTTGGTAACAAGAGGACCCATGAGATCCCTTAGATAAGCTCACGTACAGAAACCCAATATCTCTATGGAATCTGGCCGGGCCCTTTGACGTCACCTCGTCAGTCGCATTCACATCCTCAGCCTAGCACACTTGAGCTTGTGGTGTCACACGTGGCCATGTGGTCATGAGTCTGTGCAGGAGGAATTTCCCCCAGTTCAAGACCACCGGCTGCTCTCACTGGAGAAAGAGTTGCAGTCTCATATGAAATCCAGGATAGGTAAATCTATAGACAGTGTGGGACTTTTATCAACATTATGTCCATTTGAAAGGATTAAGTGTGAAGGGGTGGAGTCTAGCCTGTCAATCAGGTCATAGCCAATGGTGCCTCTGTGTGGGCATGGCCTTCTCTTGAGGCTTCTGGGAACTCCTGTCTTCCTTCTTGGGAGGTGAGACACAACTCTCTCTGCTCATTCCCTGAGAGACGCTCTACTGACAAGACGCATGGTGCTATGCTGATAGAGCCTGTGCCCTGGGAGCTGGAGGAGCCACGTGGAGACCCCTGCCAGCACTGAGATGCTTACAATACCACTGGATCCACAAGACTTTGCACCCACTGGCCTGTGATTTTCCTGCATTCAGTGTCATTGCATGTGTTTCATGAGTCAGAAGAGGACTTTGTAGATTGGTATCAAACATATGGGCTAATATGGGACTTATGAACTTGATCTTGACTGGGCTGGGATGTTTTCTTAATATTCAATTGCTCTTAAAAAAATTCAATTGCTCTTGTATATAAAGCTCTTTCCTATACATATATGAGCGTCTATCAATTTGTTTCTGTAGTTAACCCAGACTGACGCAGACAGTAACTGCTTTAATGGTTTCTTGGGAGTATAATAGGGGAGGTTGGGTGGGGTGGTGGGGGGGGAGGGGGAGACAGGATGGTGAGCTAATAACAATGAGTACAAGAAGGAAGAAAATGTCCGATGGGGGTGATGATTGTACAACTCTGCTTAATACGATTGAAATAAGGAATTGTATGCTATGTGAATTATAAACCAATAAAACTTTAAAGAAAGGAAGTGACAATCTTGGAAACCCACAGGGGCTGTCCTCCCCTGTCATATAGGGGTGCTGTGAGTCAGAATCGACTCCAGAGCAGGGAGTTCTTGGTAAGAAGGGGGCAGGGGACCCTGGGAGCTCCCTGTTGGCATCCTTGCCATCTGAACAAGAGACCCATTTCTGGACAATGAACCTCAAATGCAACCACTCCTTAGACAGGGGTGCTGAACAGGGTTCAGCCGAGCTTCCAGACAGACGGACTGGAGATCACCTTGCAAAAATCAGCCACTGAAAGCCCCAGGGGTCTGATCTTCAACTCAGCGTGGAGATGGATGCAAGGCGAGACAGTGACTCGTCACATGATGCGTAGGGCCCTTGTGAGTGGGGGGTGGGGGTCACCCAATCAGATACCGATGGTCTGTTTGTTGGCAGCTGACTGAGATCCAGCCCCACCCCTGACCCTGATGTAAGAGATGAGGGTTGTCTTGGGGATTGTCTCCTACTGGGGCCATTACATAATTTCACGTCAACTTGAAGATCTATAAAAGTGTAGGGGTGGATTTTAACCTGTCAATCAGATCACAGCCTGATGGTGTCTCCTTATGGGCATGGCCTTCACCTAAGGAGGGTCCTGGAAACCTCCCCATCCGTCCCCTCTGTTTTCACCTTCATACCAGACAGTCACTCTGAGACCTGCCAGAGCCCTATGCTGAACTGTGCCATTGGATCCACACAACCTTGCACCCACCAGCCTGTGACCTTCCTGCCTTCTGCATCATTGCGAATGGCTGCGTGAGACTAAAGAGGGACTTAGGGACTAGTCGGAAGTAGGGACTTGGGTTGGACCAGGCTGGGATGTTTTCCTGATATATAAAGTTTGTTGATATAAAGCTCTTTCTTATATGTATGTCATTGAATTTGTTTCTCTAGTCAATCCGGCCTAACACACCTACCTTTGTAGCTGCTCATGGAGTCAGCCAGATGAGGGTACAGGTGTCCCCACCCAAGCATGCTGCCCCCGTCCCCCCCAAGACCGCCTGAAAGGCCAAGTCTAGCAGGCAACATGGTACAAAAATAGTTTATTACAAAAAGAAATCCAACCAAAACACCTAATAATTTACATGGCTAATCAGTGCCCACCTCTCCTCTCTTCTCCTTGTCCACCTGGGTAGAGGGAAGTGGCTGTCCCTGGTCCTACCAGCTCTGGGTGAGGACAAGGAAGTAGTGGGGACATTGGAGTGGAATTCCAGACAGGGGCCTGGTGCCTGAGAAGAAAGGGGGCCGGAATCCTGGGTGAGGGGCTGTGGGGGCCATGAGAAGGGGGACATCTTGTTTCAAAACAGGGGACTTATGGCTAGGTGCATGTGCCTCTGTGCAAATCCTGGTCCCACAGATTTGGGAGTTGGGGGGGGGGCAGAGTGAGATCTTCACAGTTTCCAGGAGGGCTGACCCCACAGGGCTGAGACCCCTCCTCATGAGTCCAAGATCTGCCCCCCCCCATCCCTCTCAGCTGCCCCCTGGAGCAGGGGAAGGGAGCACGGGCCGGCCTGGAGCTCGGAGGACCCCAGAAAAGGGCAGGAAGGCAGGCGGAGATGAGGAAGGAAGGAAGAAATTGGGGGGAACCATGGGGAAGCCGGAGGGATCCTTTGGGGGAGACTGGGAAGGTGAAGAGGATGGTGATGTAGAGAGAAGACCTGTGGAGAGAGAAGCCGTTTCAGGGTGGGAGTGGTGGTCCACACAAAAGCGGGCAGGTCGGACCTGCAGGGTCTGAGGGAGGAGGCGGTTGGGGACCTGGAATCCTAGGTCTGAGAGAGGAGGGGGCTGGAGGCCTGGGCTGTGGGGTCTGAGGGAGGAGGGGGCTGGGGGCCTGGAATCCTGGGTCTAAGAGAGGAGGGGGCTGGGGTCCTGGACTGCTTGCTGGGTCTGAGAGAGGAGGGGCCTGGGGGCCTAGAATCCTAGGTCTGAGAGAGGAGGGGACTGGAGGCCTGGGCTGTGGGGTCTGAGAAAGGAGGGGGCTGGGGG